TGAATTGGCCTGTTCATTCACACTGTGTGTGAATGGAAGCTCCCATCCTGTGATACAGACTTAGGTCACACAAAATCAGGGAGCACAACATCCATGCAAACGTTAGTTCAACACAAACATAGCTAAAAGTAAGCCACCATGCAATTAAATCCCAAGTGCTTGAACGCTACACCAGTATCGGCCATATTGTTTTTTCTAATACTAGGACGTGGGCTCATTTTTCCTCGGACTGATTTTTAGTTGTTTGGTTTTGATGTGGTGGTAAAAATCATGGCAACAACAGTGGGTCCCTGTGGAAACTCCGGCCCCTTTGGTTTCAATGTATCTGTTCTTATTACTGGGTTAACCTTGATTACCTTTTCCCAGATGACAACAGCTGGTGTGTGCTTGTAGCCAGGTTCTTTTAACAATGTTTAATTACCAAAAAGATGCCTCAGATTTATTGAGTGTGTGGTCACAAGAATAAAGGGACAAATGGGTGAAGGGTAAAACAGATTAGGCTGAAGGACAGAAGCCGGCCAACAGGCCTGCCTGAGAGGGAGGCTCTGCCCCGTGGGCAGAGAAGCAGTGCTGCTCTCGGACCCCTGCCGCACAGCCTGCACCCCTCTTAGACAGCTCCAGGCACCTGCCACCATGAGAACATTTGTTCTTTAAAGCTGGCCCCTTGCAGGGTTTCTGCTGAGCTGGCCCAAAGGATTCCAGCCACTCGGATACACTCTCTGGTGGCGGCTTTGTCCTTACTGTCTAAAGGGAAGGAGTCTGAGAGCTGCACGGCAGAGCCCCATCTCCTCTGGGCAGGACTGTCCTTGCAAAGCCCAGTGCGCATGTTCAGGACCCCCACGTTAAGACTCGAGATGGTGTCCTGGGCTTCAGCGCAGGCATGGGACCAGCGTCTGAGCCCCAGGAGCCACCTAAGGAGCTGGGTATGGCGGCGTGCCGGAAAAGCTTGTGCTGGGGAGGCAGAGAAAGGTCTCCCCGGGGCTCACTCCATAGTCGTTTGGTGTGTTCCAGGTCAAGAAGACCTGTCTAAAGGGAAATGGCTCCATCAGGCTAGAGGTGCACCCTTTCACACAACAGCACACACGCGCACACAGGCACTGGCTTTACAAAAGGCTCCCACGATTACAGCATTAAACAGAACATCGGCCCAGCCCTTCTCTGGGCTCATGACCATTTGTGTCACTCAGGTGGCATCCAGAGGCTCCTACACAGATTTCTGCAGGTGTGTGCTCAGCCTGTCTCCGAACAAACACAACTGGAGTTGTATTTGATTTTGTTTATTTACTAGGATTTCTGCTCTGACACACAGCCTCCATGTGGCCCACGAGGATGGCAAACTGGCTGGCACTTAGAAGCACCGGGCTTTCTGACTCAGTGGCTGTACATGAAACAGCTCCATACAGGTGACGAAGTCACTGCTGCCTTGTTGGCAATCAACCGTATCAGGCTAAGTACAGGCCAAAGGCAACGGCTCCACGTGGAAAGACGTGGTGAAAGCACACAGCTCTCAGCTCCCAGGGAGGCGTGAGGGAGCGAGGCCCGCAGGCGGGCCCACTTCTAAGCGCAGCGGGGCTGCTGAATGCACACCTGGGACTTGAAGGGTTCTCACGGTTCGGAACCGTGGCTCCTGCAGACGATCCCAGTCTCCAACGCCTCCCAGAGGAGTTTCCATGGGAACAGAGGGGTCATCCAGTCGTCGTTAGCAGAGAGTCCCTGGAGCGCCGACACCGTTTGGTTCTTCAGGCCGAGGACAGGCTGCCATGGTGGACTTGTTCAGGAGGAGGCCTGCAAGTCACCGTCGGACACTGTTTAAGGGAACACTAGTGTTTGGAGGACAGCTCAACAGCTCGGGCTGCTGCTGTTAAGGCCGACAACGGGGGCAGATCCCTTAGACCCACAAGGTGGAAGAACAGTTGACTCCCAGTTGTTCTCTGACTGGCGTGTGTGTGTGTGTGTGTAGGTGTGGGTGTCTGTCTGTCTGTCTGTGTGTGTCTGTGTGTGCACACGAGTGGGCATGCATGTGTGCACACAAATGTAATAATTTTTTGTTTTTTACAAAGAAGCATTAGGAACCGCACATCTAAACTGAGATGTGTTCTCTGCTGCTCTTTGAAATCCTTTTAAAAGAGGGAGAACTTCGTTACTGTCCTGGTAGGTTCACATTTCGTCAGTGAAGATTGCTGCCAGCCCTAACCTAAAGATGTCTGCCTCCGGCTTTTCCAAGTGTCTGTCCTGGGCCCCAGCTTGGTTTAGGGAGTCCAACCATTTCTTTCTGCTCTTTCCCTCTGGCCACCAGCTCAAGGCTGCAGCAGCGGGCGGCTCTGAGGGGCAGGCACCAACAGGAACCCACTTACTGCCCGGGTTTAAAGTTCACACTTGTTGCTGATGACGGTTATGAAACACCAGTCATCTGACAGTACTATACGATGGCCGCTGCTGTCCGAGTGGGAGAGTTTTGCTCTACACGTTTATTTCACTTTATTTCCGGTATTCGTCATGACCTGACATCCCAACATCTGTGTTCAGGGAAGGCACACATTACTGCTTCCCAACAGATGCATTTGCACCGCCTCTTAAGAGAAAGGCGGCCAGAGGAGACGCGGACATTTTCTGTATCCCGGATGCTGCTTCTGTGCCTCTGTCTCTGGCCCACACAGGGACAGAGTAACCCTTGAGTAACCCTTGAGACACAAGAGCTGAATGAGGCCGCAACAAACAGAGCCAATTTAAGCATAAAGAGCAACTGGGAAAGGTGACGTAAAAGCTCTGGCTAGTCAGAAGTCACCCCTGCACAACCCTGGTATGGAGGCTGAGGTGTAGGCCAGCAGTAAGACTGAGGGCAACCTAGGCTACATGAGACCCTGATAAACAGAAAGCTTGGCTCTGCACCGCAGCTCTGCGGTCGGCAGCCGTGCGACCTTTGGTCTGCATAGGGAGCATCAGGCTGTGTACCCGTGTCTGTGCTGCACCTATGTACGTGTGCCAGGAAGGGTGATGCACAGCAAAAGCGGGTGGACAGGCATCAGGAGCTGAGCTGGCTGTCCCTCTCTGTTCTCACCGGTACCTGGCTTCCTGCAAGTTAAAGCAAGTCAGGAGCAAAATACAGCCCCTGTTCACTTGTAAACTCGAAGCACAGGGCATCTTGGACACCTTGTGTCTCTCTGAAATAGTAAGACTTGGTATTAAAATAAAACCAAGCAAGCCAAGTGTGACCTGAAGTTTCCAGAAAAAGCCCACTGCCATGAAGGATTCTGTGAGGCTTCGGGTTAAACTTTCTCTCATGTGCAGGGTTGGGACGCTGCAGCCACAGAGCCATGCTGCCGGGCTAGCCTCGGCCTCCTTCGCAGTCTTCACTGCCCGCTGCTCTGTCTGTCCTCACATCCATCCCTGTGACTATCAGGTAAACACCATGGTCTAAAGATCACTAGCATCCACTAACCCAAAGGTCACTGAGGCCCAGGGCACACAATGCCCAACCACTGTGACCCACCATGCTGATGCCAGCATTTGTGAAACAAGCCTCCATCTACAGGAGGAGGCTTTGTTACCATTCTGGGGTAACCCGAATCTGCGTTCCCAGGCCACAGTCACCCACCGGTGGCCCCAGAATAAACTCTGAATTGTGAGGGGTGCTTTCGCCTGGACACAAACATCACCCCGTATTTCTTTCTTCTAAGGCACACATGCTGAACAAGACCTTTTGTATTTACTCTCTTGCCGGCTGCCCTCTACCTTCTGTGGGTTAACTGGTCTTGAAGGTGTTCCCAAAAGGTAACATGAAGATCATAATTTTAGGGAGCTACGTGAAGACTAGAACAGTCTATCAGAGGACCTAGGAGAGACACAATTCCCTTAATCTACTAGATAATGGACAAGATGAAGACTGTCAGCAAAAGTGGAGATAGCTTAAGTGATTTAGTGTCACAAGTGAAAAGCCAATGTTTTGTTAGTATTTACAGCCTCGTAGCTACTTCAGAGTCACGGAGGCTCTGTGACATCCTCAGGCTTACAGGTCCTTAGGGTCAGCAGGGCTGGGTGCTGTTGACTCCTAATTCCTTTAGCCATGTTTCTAAGAAAGTGAATGTAAATCTGAAAAGTTTCAGAGTGCTCCTTTCCGCCTCGGATACCTCTCAGCTAACAAAAGAATTTGGTAAGTATACATTCTAAATACTGACAGCAGATACTGGTTACTAAAATATAGGCATTTTCCTTGAAATATGTGACCTTCTGCCTACAGTGCCTCTGTTATGTTCATTCAAACAGCTCTTATACTGTAAAACAATGACGCTTCTCAGCTGGTGGAATGCCACAGGGAGCCTGCAGAGCTCATAACCAAGGCAGCCTTTACATTGGCAGAGGATGAATGCCGCTTTATCAGAGCAGCTGAGGCCATACACAACAGCATCTGTCAGCGTTCACAGGGCCCCGTATAGAACACGCCGGCCCCACAGGACAATGGGACCCGTATAGAACACGCCAGCCCCACAGAACAACAGGGCCCATATAGGACATGCCGGCCCCACAGCCCCACAGAAGAGCAGAGGACAAAAAGCAGGGCCCATATAGGATACACCGGCCCCAGAGAACAACGGGGCCCATATAGGACACGCTGGTCCCAGAGGACCAGCCTCTGGCACCTTCAGCCCACATGATGTGAAAACAGGAAGTCTGCCTCAAACTGTACTGAGACCTTCAATGGTACTGGCAGGACCATAAGGCCACTGCTAATTAAGTGGATTACCCAGAATCCCCAAATTAACCAGCTTTCATTAAAATAAAGAAAATACTTATGAGTGTTTATATGATTTCAAACCTTCCTTGTGCTATTTTAAAGGCCATGAAAATGACCAACCAGTGTCCCTTCTTAAGGAATGAGCCCTTGGTTAGTTTGGCTTAAGGGGTTCGGTAGGAAGAGTGTCTGTGTCATTCGTGGCAGTGTCTTACTTTTTTGTATATAGCGAATATACCTCACAAGCGTAAACAACAAACACAAGCCAGACTTTCATTAAATAAATTTATTTGTTAAAATAATTTAACTCCAAATACAACTGTTGAATTTGCATTGAGTTATAACTACAATTCATGTTTCAATTGAAATGTCAGGGCTTACCCGACACTGTTACAAAACAATAAACTGTTGTTCGATTTTAAATGGTCAGTTGTATTAGAGTTCAACAATTAACTGTGAAGTGTATCTCTGGGAAACCCCAAACCGATAGTGATAAGTCTGTTTCCAAAATTTACCACAGCCATTCTAGAAACCCTGCTCAAGGTTTAATAGATGTGCCACGGCACGTTAAACAACAAAAGGTCCCCGCAGTCTTTAAATCTGATTGGCTGAGGAGACAGCGCTTCACCAGTGTTAAGGGGGGGGCTGCCAGGGGAGAGCCGGGAACCCACACGGCCCCCCAGCAGCAGACCACAGAGTACCTTCACATTCACCAGCAGCACTCACACTGGAAGCGAACAGCAGACGCCCAGGGCGACGCAGAGGAGCGAGCATCAGTAGTCTGACCGCAGGGAGTGATGGCAACTGTGGTGAGTGCGTCAAACCCTGCTTCTCCACGGCAGAGGGTTCCTGTGTAAGGAAAGGGCCCCGAGGCGTCCCGCAGACACTGGCCAGTTTTGCGGAAGCTGAACACGGAGGCATCGGTTGCCATTGCTACCACAGCCTCAAAGAACCCGCAGGTTCCACGGGAAAGGAAACCTGAAAAGACCTGCCTCTGTACAGGAGTAAAAATCAATGCAAAGAAAACTAAGTAACAGCTAAAGAAACAGTGGGTCTTTGGGTCAAACCATAACGTTTTTAAGGCATGTTAGAACAAGCTTTTCCTTTCTCTAGTTGCTAGACGCACCAGGGCTTTCAGGAGCGAGCGGCCAGCCCTCCTCTGCTCCCTACCTCCCGTGCCCACGAGTGTCATTTCCTGTCCTGGGGAAACATCATGCATAACAGGCGGATTCACATGGAGGAGCAGGGAGAAGGCGTGGCACGGTTTGGCTCGTGGAAGTGCCTGGGCTCTATGGAGGGCCGCTGGCTCTTGAATGCCCCACGGGAAAAGCCTGCGCAAACGTCTGACAAACACTTCCACCTCACACCTCGCCAGGCTTCCCACGGGTTACCACTGTCATATCTGCAGCCACCTGTGAGGTGGGGCTGTGGCCTCTGTCCAGGCGCTTCTAATACGCAGCAATATGACCTGCTATTCATCACGGGAGTCTAAAAATCAGAATTAGTCTCACCAGTGAGAGGCCTCAGAGGTCAAAGTACTAACATTTCTACTGCAGCAGATAAAACAGAGTTCTTGCGTCCAAGTTCTCGATATGTCCGAGTCAAATCAACTTTTACATAATGGACTTTTTTTCCCAAGTAAACTGGTTAGAACTTTTTGTCCTATAACTGTGGTATGTCCTAACTGGAGAAAATGACACTGAGGACCACAAATACTCAAAGACTTTCTAACACCCATGACTAGCTTTTACTCACATTACTTTTTTTTCCTCACATTTGACAAACTCCAATGACCTTTTTCTAAGCTTAAGGCCAATCACTAAATACTTGGTAGGATTCCAACGGCTTAGAAGAGACTAATAATTTAAAGAAAAAAAAGTCTGCTTATACATAATGTTGTGCAGTCTAGATTCTCAGTTGAGGCAATCATCTCTGCATTGTGCCAAATTCTTAGGAACAATAAACACACATGCACACACAAACACACACTCTCAGTGACGCACGAGACCAAGCGATACTTGCATCAGACTGTGGAACCAAGAAGGCGTGTGTGCTAGGGACATCAGGCTTGGGGACACTGCCGTTCTGAAGGGCGCACTGTCTCCGAGGGTGGGCTCAGGACATTCCCCAGCACTCCCGGCTCCCGAGTCAGGGGAGAACCCTTCCACCCGGGACTGTGAAATTCCTGAATAGACTTTTTTTCCTGTGCCATCACTCATGTAAATGATAAAACACTTCACAGCCATAAAAACCGAAACTGCCGAGCTTCAGCACCCTTCAAAGCAAAAGATCCCCTCTGGCAGTGTGCGCCCCTCAGGAACCAGGGCAAAACAGGTGCAGGAGAACCTCCCGGATTCTCCAGGAAAAGGAAGAGAGAAGGCTTTGTGTTTCTTCCCTTCCACTCTAAAATAATTTTTTTCTACTTTTAAGCTCAAATTATTTCACAGGTTATTCAATCTGATTTTTTTTTTAATGCCTACAATAAAGCTCTGTTACAGCAAAGTGGATTTCCAAAGCAGGTGAGCCAAAGGGTCTCATCACAACCATAGCCCTTAACAGCTGCGTTCATGAACACACACAGAAAAAATGCCAGATTTGTCCTGTCCTGTCCTGTGAGGTGTCTGCAAACGGGAGCATGTGGGTATAACATGGCTTCGTTTTCCTTCTGCGATGGTTCGGGTTACTCTACACTGCTTGTTAGTAAGGCTAGGCACTCTCTCCATCTCAGTCACTTCTTTCTTGATCAGCAAATAAAGGCCATCCTTGCTCTGTTATCAGAGGGTGGATGTGCACGTCAATTCTCATAAACCTTCATGAGAGACTATTTTCTGTGGCAAAATAGGTGATTCAACAAATTCTAAAGCCAGGCTGGATTTTCACACAGCCTTGTTCTGTCTTTCACTCTCATGAAGACTGATGCGTTGGGTGATCAATTAGGAGAACATCTACAGTTAAGCATCAGTGTGAAAAACAGACGCGTGTCAGCCAAGAGGCTTCCCTGTAACGCTGCCTTACTGGATGGAGTACACTGGCTAGAAGGACCATCCATTCCCGACTTAGTATTCTTGTAGGAAAATATTTCTCCTTTACTTTTTTTTTAAAGACAACAAAATATTTTAATCATTAGTGATCATAGGAATTCTTCTGGTTTCTCTCTCATGATTATTTTTAATGTACACGACAGTGGCTTCTGTTAGCCCAGTGGCCATCGGTGCTTCAAGTGAGATCACCTGTAGCTCAAAGGCGGTGCCTTCGGTCTTCAGATGCACAGGAGCCTGCAGTCAGGGGTGGGGACTGCAGTCACTGAACCCACAGGTCCTCAGAGGCACCAACTGGCCATCCGGCCTGAGGCCGCCACACCATGCCTAGACCGCAGTGGTGCAGACGAGGTCACTGCTGCCCGGCGGAGCCCTGTCCATCCTGGCCGGGCTCGGATGCTATTGTATGTTACAGGCCGAGCAGCACGGGTCGTCCTTGTCGGGCTGAGCGGCATAGTTCATCTGCCTCACGATCTCCGCAAAGAGCTCGTCCACCATTGTCTTACTCTTGGCAGAGGTCTCCATGAAGGGGCAGCCCCACTCTTCAGCCAGCGCGCGGCCTTCAGTGGACGACACCTCCCGCTCGGCCTCCAGGTCCACCTTGTTCCCCACGAGGATGACCGGCACCTTCTCGTACCTGGAAGAACACACACGCAGTGCGGCAGTTAGCAAGGAGGGAAGCACGTTTCTCTTTCCCGTAGTGTGGGCTACATGACCTCGTTAGCCGCTTGAAAATGACTTGCACCAGCTGGCCTGTGCCTACCGAGGGCATTGGGAGGCAGCTCTCAGAGGGGCTCGTAGATGGGCCTTCCAAACGATGTTCTCAATTAATCAATCATGTAGCCTTTAAAACCAATTATGTATCTTTTCCAGATACACTGGGGAATTAGTCTCAGCTCTCAGGCCGACTTCTCTTAATGGAAACGCTGTCTGTTCCATGAGACGCTCGCTCACAACTTCAGCCAGCATGCAGTCATTAGCTCTACTGCTAACATAACTGTCAGCATTTTACTATATTCCGTAAGAACACAAAACCCACCGTATTCTAAACAGCTCCTAAACACAACAATTAAAAAAAAAAAAAAAGCCAAAACCATAATGGAACTCATCAAAATGGAAAGTGTCAAATAGAAGCACACCCATATGGAAATGTGGGATCAGCCGGCTGAAAGAAAAAGTTAATTTATTCTCAGTTTAAGGATTAAACTACAGCACAACTAGAAAATGGAAATAGCGGGTGGGCCCACACACGGTTCCTGTGCAATCCAGTGTCTTGTCGAGATGGTGCTCCCCAATCCCCTTAACAACACACGTGTCCCCAGTGGACACTTACACTTCCTTTGGCCAGAGAGCAAATCAATGGCCTCAGTGAGGGTCCATTCCAGGCAGCAAAACACAAGCGCTAGAAAGTACATGTGGCACCCTGCGTGGTGCGTGAGCAGTGCCAGCACTACGAACACAGGTTACACAGCTAGACCCTGTCTCCTCAAGTCGGAGGAGACCACTCAGTTGGCAAAGCCCGCAGCACTTCTCACCTCAGTGCTGGGCAGGCAGCGAGGGGGGCCCTGAGGGGCCACAGGCCGACAAGCGGAAGGCAGTCCCCAGGAAGACGCACAAGGCTGTCCTCTGGACTCCACACACAGGCACCCGCCAAAACACATGCGTGTGAGGGTGAGTCTAGAGCGCAGGCGTTCCGTGTCTTAACCTGTACTCCATTGTCCCTGCAGCCTCTCACACCTTTCTGTCAGGGAGCTCCTGCACAGGCCTCTGAGAGCACACACGGCAATGGCATGAACCCCACCAGAAACTCCATACCAGCCCCTACCGTGGGGCTGAGCAGCCTCACAGTGGCTGTCACTGCTGACCGTGTCAGGACCAGCTTCCAATCTGCTCTACATTCAAGCATGTACCTGCATTTCCCTTTCCTTTGTACACATGACAGAGCAAGAGCCGACTCCCCTTGATGGTCAGGAAAGCAGCGTACCAACAATGACAGACAGAACTCAACTGAGCCAAAGTCAGGACCTGACTTCAGTTCGCTGACTACACTTGATGAAGACGGAAGTGCTAAGACATTACTTTCTAGTGTTGGGCCTGGTGGTGGCACACATTGTAACAGCAGCACACAGGAGGCAGAAGCAGGAAGATCAGGAGTTCAAGACCACCCTCAGCTACACAGTGAATTGGTGGCCAGACTGGAGTAGCTCTCAAATACCAACCAACCAACCAACCAACCAACCAACCAACCAACCAACCAACCAACCAAATTACTTCCTATTCTTAGGTAAGAGAAAAGTATCTGAAAGAGTACTGCAAGCTTAGACACAATACCACATCAATACTTTGTATTTAACAGAGTTGTAATTTTAGTTGAATGGTGCAGGATCTGCTACCACATGTGGACTTCCCAAACTTGCAAACATAGGAAGTTATCAGCAGCTGGCTGATGCGCACACGCTCCAGTCAGGAGGTTCAGAATCACAACTCGAGGTAGGCCAGCCGTCAACTGCCCATTACCAGGCTGACAGCTGAGCACTTGGTTCTGTCCCACATTGCAAACACGTGCCCACACACAGCGGAAGCCATCAGGATGGTGTAGTAACAGGGCTCAGTCCAGTCAGCATCACAGAACCTGCCTTGTTCTACTAGCTGAACTGCCAGCGGTCCCTTCTGCCATCTGGTTATTAAGAAATGCAGATCAGTAACCCGAACAAAAACCTGACAAACGGATCAAAATCTTGAGGGGAAACAAAACAACAAACAAAGCGCGTGTCTCCAATAACATGCTGATGGGTTTTGTCCCTGCTAACGCTGCAGTTCAGGACCGTGCAAAATATGATAGGCTGTGGTTCGGATGGAGGCTTGGTCTTTGAGAAGGTACTAACACCAGTGGGAAGGGCTGGGGTGACAGGGAGGGTCCCGCAGGGAAAGGGAAGGCTGGAAGGACCTGGGTCTCCTTGGGACACAGAGGAGAAGACAGGGAGAGGTAAAGCCTGTGCTGACGAAGCACAGTGGCACTCGGTCCATTGTTATGGCAGTATGTCCTGTTAAAAACAACAGTACCACAACTCCCAAACCCACCAAGACTTCAGCCTCAGAGCCAGCCCCAGCTAATCATGCGACTTAGATTAATACAGTCTCCTAAGTACCTGTTTGCCGGACTAGGTCTAAAGAGCTCTTAAACCAGAAAGTTAAGTCTCATCAGACATGGTGGCCCAACCCTCAATCAACAGTTAATGGCGAGTGTCTGGCCCTGTCGTAAGAACACAGAGCAGGCTGATCTCGAGAAGAGACAGTGAAGTGTGGAGGGGTGGAGTGGACACGGCTGGGAAACCTTAGCAGACCCTGTGGGTGCAGAGCACTGAGCAGCTACTGCTGCTCGCGCTAACCCGCTGGGAAGAGGGAGCCTGCACCCAGGAGCTTAGCAGCTATTCTGTCTGCACGCTGCGCGAGACGCTCCAACTCCCTGGCGCAAAGGGCCGCCCTGGGGAGCCCATGGTGCGGCAGCAGAGCAGTGGGAGACCACTAGGACTGTGGATCACATACTTGGTTGTCCATTCAACATGTTTATTTTCTAAGTGCCTACTACATCCTAGATACTATTATTTCCACTTATGATTCACAAGAAACAGCAAATCATCTGTCCTCACGATGATTATAGCCCAGCAAAGGAGACAGACACTAGCAACAAAGTAGATAAGTAAGTTAAGGTTTATTAGAGACAGTCAGGAGGCAGCCCGGAGTGCATGCTGGGGCACAGAGTGACAGCAGAGGCTTCCCTGGGGAGCCGGCATGCTGTGTGAAGTCACAGTAAGGAATCTGCCACAGAAGCACCAGGGAGAACTCCCAAGCGAGCGTGGACTAGACGTCAAGAGCCTGGTGTGGCTGTTGGTTCGAGGAAGAGCAAATGGCTTGTGAGATCCACCTGCGAACCCCTTCCCATGTCCGACCAGCCCTGAAATGCGGGTCACACACTTTGCGAGACAAAACTGGGGAAAGGGTGCGCAAGAGCGCCCTTATCAGATGGACAGCCCTCAGCCATCCTGTCAGGGGGTGACAGCAGTTACTTCCTTGTCCGATTCTCAGCACAGCCCTGCAGGTCTTCTTCAGCTCCCCCCTTTCAGAGGATGCCACTCGGGAAGAAGTTGAAAAGGCAAGATTCCAAAATTACTCCATTCATGAACCTGTTAACCTGACCATGGAGGAGACACCGTCGCCAGGGCCAGAAGGTGGCTGGTGTGGCTCAAATTACTTTTGTAGACTGTGGAAAACATGTCTTATTAACATGAATTTGCATGCTGCTTGTTATATTCAGGAGTGTGATTACAGAATGTCTGAATAGGTAAAGCTGCTCTTTTCAACAGCTGTGCTTAATGGATTGCACAAAGCCCAGCTTAACTGATGGGCTTCTCAGCGAGGCGGTCGGTAAATACCAGTGGCTCAGAAGGATTTCAGTGTGCTCATCAACAGGCTGGTGTTGCCTCAGAACTGTCCTAATACATGTGTTAGGGCACACACAATTTATGTACACTTTGTTCTGGGAATGTCTAAGCTTGGCTAGTCATTAAAACAACTGGAGAATTTAAGTACTGATTCCTGGGCCCCGTTCCAGAGCTCCTGAGGCTGAATCTGCGGGACCAAGAGTCTACTGACACATGTCTATAGATCTGTACACGCCGAGCTTCCCAGGCGTGAGGAGCTGCTGCGCTCCGCTGCCGCTCGTCCCAAACACCACCATGTGCTTACATGTGTGGCTCTAAAGCAGCGAGTCTAAACCAACACCCTCTCCTCCTCATGCACTCATCACGGTGAGCCGGAGCAAGACCACGGCAGTCAGCTCCACGGCAGCCTTACCCTGGAGCGCCTTCAGAGAAGGACGTGTCTCACTTGCTCTGTCACGATCTTCTTGGCCATAAGCTGGGGGAAATAAAATTCTCTTTGAGTTCAGAAGAGAATCAGAAAGGGTTTTTAGTTCCCTAACTCAACTTTCTCTCCAGTGTTAAAATCTCCTTTACCAAGAGCTTTTGAGACAAAATGGCAAACACCTGATTCTTCATTCACTCTGGGACCAGCCTTGCCAGGTGTCTTTGAAATATTTCTGAACAGCTTCAGTGACAGAGAACTCACACTTTGGGCAGCTTGCTTTCTCTGTCAGTTTGTCAACTATTATGCTAAGAATCCAGAGTTTAAATGTTTGCTGTGTTCAGACTGTGATGTCTGCACCCGCTCCTTCACAGGTCCTAACTTCTGCCTTGCAGGGAAGGAACCTTTCTTTATTGCAAAAGGGAAACAGGTTTTCTTCCTCAATTCTTTGCTCAACAGTGCATCAAGATGCAAACAAACAAACAAAGCAAACAAATAGGAAAATGGGAAAAGGGGAGTGGAAAAAAGGGAGAGAGAAAGGGAGGAAGGGAGGGAGAGAGAGAGGGAGGAAGAGAGAGGCGGGGAGAGACAGAGAACTCTTAATCTCATTTATGAGAATAACCACCATAACTATTTTGGTGTATAAACTTCCAGACTTTTCCAATTCATAGGTATTAACACAAGCATATATTTTCATACAAAGAGATCATACCATTTCATCACACCAGTCTCACTTTTGCTTATTACGGAGCTACCCATTTCTATAAATGACAT